TTAGATGTGTGAATTCAAGACTTTTTAATGACACGCTGACACCCTTTAATGAGATTAATCAATTTGTTAGTAATGTGACATTCAGGAGGCAAACGGATGCTGTTTATGGGAATTAGAGTTAAGAAAGATGATCACAAATGCCACACTTTTCAGATTTGTGAAAAAACAACTGAAAAGCATATCAGTTTTTTTTTTCTCCTTTTAGTAATATGAGCTACTTTTTGTCGGTCTACAAAAATAAATCCCAATCAAATCCATTGAATCTGTGGTATTAAAACCACAAATAATAGAATGGAAAGAGTACTATTTAACAAGGAGAACAAAAGTCAGTCTTACAAAGACATCCCACTGATAAACAATCTGCTGCTAACCTACTTTAAACATATAATGTAAAATATCGACAGGGAGAATAGAGAATGCTTCAGCAGAAGAGGTGAAAGAAGAAACCACGTCACAGGCCAGCAGCACTCACTCACCATCATATAGTAAGTGCAGAGATGTAGCGATCCTGATTTCCTTCAGAGTTCAGTAATGGGTATTAGTTTAAAGGCAACACATTAATGGGTGGGACACACTGAAGAAAAACGGAGACAGAGCTCCACCAGAAAAGACAAACTGTCATGACGAGAACATTTTATTTACTAACTTGTTAAGATTCCATTTACAATAATTTTAGAAAGATTCAACAAAAAGAATATCTTTGTACAGTTATTTTCAACAAACATAAAATTGCATAAGTATATATACAAAAGAAAACACCAGAATTAGACAATAGTTTATCCAGATATACCAACTTGCTACACTCATTAGCAACCTGCAGTGCTAACAGACACCGCTTTAAGATCACTGAATGGTTTTTACTCAGGTACAGAGCAGAGATCATACAGGAAAATATGTTGATACAAATATCTCCACGTCTGATCATGTAAACTGATGGATGAGTTAAGCTCCAGGTAAAAAGGTGAGATTATAACAACATGCCAATATGGAACCAGGCTGTAAACAGAAACCAGCGTAAAGAATGCAGCAAATCATAGGAGGTTCTGGATGAAGAACATTTTTAACAACCAAAAAACAAAAGCTGAAGATTCGGCGATGCTGGAAACAGGCAGGCAGCATCTCTTCAAATGCACAGTCACCAATACAAAATATGTTTCATATACTATATTACTTCCATAAAAATAATCCAATACGATTTATAGCATTATTCTGTAATGCCTGCACAATCTTCTGCTCTGACAATGTTACGTATTATTTACAAGAAAATAAAATCTCCAGTAAACTGTTACTGTGTTTCAATCCTCAAAACAATCCCTTTTGTTTGTTTTTGTTATCCTCAAACTGATTACAGTACTTTGTGTAACACTGAATGGACCAATCACTGTATTTCTATCAGAACACCTACAGCAAACAAAGAGCCAATTTAAAAGTCAGATTTCAGAAAACACAAGGTAAACTTTCAACATTTGGATTAATTAATATATTAATATTTTAAGTGATTCAGTACTTAACGTTGTGACTTGGTGCCTTTGTTTACATTTTGACCTGATTTGCATTAGCTAGCTTTAGTTACTCCATCCCTTAAATGCCCTGATTATCAATGAAACAATTACTGACATAATTGAATTCCACACAATTAAATAAAATGAAACACAAGCAGGTAAATCTAAAAACAAAAAACAAACAAGTGAAATGGCATGCCATTGGTCTTTAAATACTGATCAATACGTAGGCTGGAATGCTTTTAGACTCTTTAATACCTGATATCGAGTAAGTAAGCGATAAAAACGCTCCTTCTGGACACAATAAATAGCTATCCTTCATTTTGTGCAGCAATACAGTACTTAAACTAAACCTACAGTAATTGCACAGTCACCACATGCAACAGGCTGGGAAAAAAATTCAAAACAGCCCCCTCCTCCCATCATTTTTTATCATCAGGCTCCTTAGTCCCTACTTCCATCTCTCAGTCTGCCTTTTGGACTTTCTGTATCTACCAGTTAAAATGTTCTTCTTGACTTGTGGTCCAAACTCTGAGCCCTGGGGAACACCAGAGCACGCTTTCCAGAGTTTGCAGTCCAAGGCAAAGTGGGTAAAAGATTGTTATTTAAGACGTTGGTCAAATACAGGTAGTTTGGTTAATCCAGTTAACAACACAAGCTGATCCATGAGAACATCGTCTTCTAAATAAGTAAGGTAAGCTTCATGTCAGAAGACGGCCGATGTAGTAATACTGTCCAGGAAAATCTCAAAGTATATGTGGCCAGTTTGTGGCTCTCTGGCCGCAGGAGTCTGGCTTTAGTCGGTCCGTTGTCCCTTGTCTCATTTGACTGAACCGTCTTTCTTAGCTTGTACGGGTTGGTCCTTGTTTTACTGGCAGCATCAAACTGAGAGGAAGGGATGAGAATTAAACTCATCCTCTCCTAATGTCGTCCACTTCTGCATTCACGTCCATGTGAGAAGATTCTCTCACAGTTCTCCATCTGAGGGCGGCAAACACAACTTGAAGAGCCTGTAAAAAGAGGAAGGAGCTTTCAGATGACCATATATGGGTATTATGGGCTGATGATTGCATAACGTGGAACTGTGCGGTGTTGGCCTACTTTGGAGCTGATGGCGGCATCTGGTCCATCACCTTCAGGTTTTTAGCAGACAGCTCCACTCTTGCTCCCTGATAGAACCAAAGAAATAACACATGAAAAACCTCAGGGTACAGCATTTTATATTTCCTAATACCTGTACTGGTTGAAAAATGTACCAAAACAGTACAATTTATTCAATATTTAAATAATATTAACCTAAAATATTAAAAGTATCCTGTAAGTTCAGGGAAAGTACCTTAAAGTTCCATTAAAGTTCAGTGTAACTTCTAGAAAAATAAATAGTATGTTTCATTAAAGTTAATGAAAGACAATGGAAACGTTTTGGGAAAGTAGATTTTAAATTCCATGAAAGCACTTTGGAAGTTCTGGAAAAAAGTTTGGGATAAGTAACTTTCGTTCATTTCTTGAAGGTCTAAAAAAGAAAAAAAAACCTGCTTAATGACTTGTGGACGGTGCAGTGCCGGGTAAGTTGTGGGAAAACAAGAACTGTGTTCAGAAAGCTTCTGAGACGACCCTTGAAATGTTGGAGAGAGTAGCTCCCAAGTTCAGGAAAGTAACCAGTAAAGTAAAAAAAATAATTTTCATTCATTTTATCCCAGGAAAGTGGTTGACAAGTTCTAGAAAGTAACAACTGAACATGAGTAAAGTACCTGGTTTGTTTGGGAAACATAATCAGGAAAGTTCCAGAAATATTCAATAATTTAAGTCATTCAAATAAGTGTATTCACTTATAACAGGACATTATTCTTGTTAAAGTGAAACTAGGACGTTTCATCCAGACTTAAGAATTATTCACTTACAACAACTAGAAAAAAAGACTTGGCAAGATTTTATGTTTTGCAGTGTGTTATCTAGGAAAGAAACAAATCTAAACATTTCATAAAACTTTTGCAGCTTTATTCCTAATTATAATTAGAAATTTTATTGCAAGAGTTGCATAATAACTCCTTAAATCCTGTCTGGGGTTCACCTGCTTCCTCATTATGTCCATGGTCTGCATGATGCAGCGCGGCAGGAGGCCGTGGTTCCTGGCCAGGATCATCGCCTTCTCCAGGGTCACATTCAGGGTACATCTGAAAGCAACATGAGGTCAGACTTTAATCTCCGTAATCTGAGGATGGATTCACACAGATTCAGACAGAGCAGCAGATGCTCAGGGTTTCTCTACGTATCACTGTCTGCAGGCTGTTGTAAAAATATTAGAACCATGCAGTATCAGAAACACAACAGCAGCAGCAGCCTGACCTCTGCATGCCGGTGCCACACATGGTGATGTGGCAGGCTCCCAGCCGGTTACACAGTTCAGAGGACACACACAGCACGCTGACGCCCGACGGGTGGCCCTGCGCGCTCGGACGCACGTTGACGTACGACTGCATCAGCCGACAGAGGTCATCCAGGGTGTTTAGGGGTCTGAGCAGCTGTGAAAGAGAAACAAGGGTCAACGAGCGACACAATAACGTCTCACCTGGAGGCCATCTTGGCAAGTCATTTGACTACAACTCAATGTTGGAACTGCTTTCTTTACAGATATCGTTCTGTGCAAAAGCTCGGACACAACAAAGAAGTGGCTCTTAGGTAATAAAGGCTTTATTACCTAAGAGCCACTTCTTTGTTGATCAAACGTTCTTCAAGCTCTCTGGAGGTCAAACATTTTTCTTTGGCTGTTGTTTTTTCTTTTTCTTGTCAGTGACTTTTTGGTGAAGTGTCCAAAATGGACATTTACCAAAAAATTCAGTTCAAACAAAAATCCCAGATATGTAAAACTGCCAATCCAACCATCCAAATCAAAGCACTGTTCTTTAAAATAAATCCATTCCTGATCTCTTGAGAATGAATTTTATCATGCCAAACATCCTCCTGGACTGGTTTTGCAATCAGCTCCAGCTGCTGCCATGTTGTGTGTTTCAGCAGCTTTTCCTACAGTTCTTGTCAGTGAAAACACTTTCTGTGATATTTTGAAGTGCAGTCAGACATAAATATATATCGATCGATTTCTGGCCAACAGACAGGCCCATGTGGTGCTACTGCTGCAAAAAAATGACACGAGCAGCCTTAAATACTTACTGTGTCATTAATATTTCACCATACAACGCTTCTAACAATGTTTTTAGATAAGAATAATGCAACTGCATCATTTAAAATCCCTGTGCTTATGAATATTAAACACATTTTTATGAGGAGCTGGACCAAATTGTATTTCTTTCTTTTACGTTCCTATAAGAAGATTTGTTGTAGATTTGGTCCAGAACCCAAACAGCTGGTTTGACTGGTGTTCAGAGGATTGTCTGTATCCGTCCTTCAAGGTTTAAATCAGGTGTTTTTTTCATTTTACCATGACTGTAACTGCTGCTTTAGATGTACTGAAATGATCCAAAAAGTAGTCAAAGTCTTGATCAAAAACTTTCCAAGACCTTCAGAAAGCTTGAGGAAAGATTAATTATGTAAAAGATTACAACATTGATTCCTTCCTTAAAAGTAAAAATAAACTCAAAATTCCTCTGATTGTTACTAGGTTAATAAGATAAAAACTACAATATCACACAAAAAAGAGCAAAATGGCAGCGGAGCCAATCAAAGCTGATGAAAAACAAAAATCAGAATCATTGTAACAAAAACCCAAACTTACAGATTCCCATACAGACTGCTGTGCAGTAACTGACTTGTAAGATGGAGCAACAATAAATATGTGGATTGTTAACAAAAATCATCATATTTAACAAACAGAGGTTTATTCCTGAGATTTTTTAAAGAATAAAAATAAAAACATGTAAATACAAATGCTCTACATTAAATTAAGACTACAGATTTGATTTGAGCTACAGTCAGTGTGGGACACTAGAGGTCAGGCTGGAATTAAATCGGAGCAGCATGCTGATGCGCTCAGGTTAGTCAGAGTTAATTAGGAAGTCTTGATAAGCTAGTGGGGGTGTAGGTGGTTTCCATGGGGACAGGAAGACAAATCGTTCCTCTTACTTTGGAAATGCTCGGCTGAAGGTCTTTAACTTCAAGGCCCAGTATCTGTGCTTGCATTTATTTATATTCAGTCACAACATGATATAAAAGTTGACTGTTGATGACAGATTGTAGTGTACAGCAGTGAATGTGTAGAGTTACCTGGTCTATTTTCATCGCAGTGGAGTTGGAGTCAGTAGGGAGGTTGGACTTCTCCAGATAGAAAGCCCTGTGGAAACACACACTGGAGTTAGAAGCAGATAGAAAATGACTCTTGTTTGTCTGAGTCAGGTAGAAAATAGAGAGACTATCAGCTTCATGTTTATCTAATCCTGATGCTGCGTTAGGAGCAGTGGCGCAAAAAGTGATGTATGCAGCGCATGCATGATAGGGGCGCTGCAACAGAGGGGGCGTCAAAACCCTGTGTGGAGGGGGCAGCGCGCCGATGAGGCCTTCGCATGCACTTCACCACGCTCCTTCACCTCGCACACATGTAAACACGTGTGTTCGTCTGGGGGGCGGCGGGATTTATGTTTTTGCATCCACCTGAATAATATGTAGTTGCGCCCCTGGTTAGGAGTCAGGTTCTGGGAATTCATGTAATGTTTTATTCAGAGCTCAGTCACAGTGAGCTCCATCAGAGTGAGCTCCTTCAGAGTGAGCTCCATCATCACAGTGAGCTCCATCAGAGTGAGCTCCGTCACAGTGAGCTCCTTCAGAGTGAGCTCCGTCACAGTGAGCTCCTTCAGAGTGAGCTCCATCATCACAGTGAGCTCCATCAGAGTGATCTGAGC